GGTTGTTGTATTTATTTAGGCACAGCGATTGTCTCATTATTATTAGGTCGCGTGTGTCGCTATTGTTGAAAATCGATGGGTACACAATAAAATATTCATAATTCTATGCAAAAGCCGCCTATGGTAGATATGTTTTCAACAACGGTTGTGTATACAATTTTAAAGGAAAAAATATACAAACTATTTACGAAGCGGTTGTTAAGAAGGGCGAATCGAGTTCAGAGGTCGGTCGTGGGTTTGCCCGCGCAAGGGCATTACAAAGGCAAATATTATTTTTTTTTGTACGTGTGTGTGTCTTTGATAGCCGTGGATTATTGAGTTTATTTTTTTATTTTGGTAGTCTCGGATAGAAGAAATAATCCTAACATATAAGTCAGTGTCCTGACCGAACAGTGTTTTTTTTCTAAAACTCATAATTTGGTTAATACCAAATATTTGCTGCTGGGCTTAAACAAAACAAACCCATTATTTTGATTACCAACTCTGATATAGCCAACGAAAGTTTTTGATTATATTATGTATATATTTTTCATTTTTAAAGTCACGGTCTGGTCTAATCTATATTATCTGTATATTGACCGTCAGTATGTGTGTAGTTAGCGGGTCATTTGATATATTTAGTTATAATTAAACGTGCATAGGTACAGATTTTTTTCGTCGATTACATCCAATTATTATTGCATCATTTCAAAACGTGATAGTGCAGTGAAGTGTATATTAAAACATATGATGTATTCTATGTAAATTGATTAGACTTGGCTGCTAATATAGCAGTCTTTTTCTGAGCACTGATATATTTGTTGACTACTTCTGGGCAGCGCCTTTATGATCTATACTCAGCCCTCTTCCCCTTGTGCAGTCAGCAGTGATCTATTAAAATTAAAACATCCAGTGAAATCATAAATATTATGAAAGATTACTATATATTATAACAGGTCTAATCCTCTGAAAAAAAATTGTTTACTATAGTATAGTATGTATGTTTTACTCAATTGTATATGATTATATCTGTTGACTTTTTTTTTTATAACTTGAATAAAAATACCGTCATTATGAACGCTGGTAATTGTCGTTGACCGATCAACTGTTGAATGATTAATGTGTAAACAATGATAATATTTGAATATGTAAAATCTACCGAACCGTAAACAAATATTAGGAAATCATATTACGTTCCATTGTATACGATTGTTGTAGAAGACAAAAAATAAAAATATAAGCATATTGACCATAAGGCTATTATTAACACAAAAATATCGGACTTAGTCCATAATTATAATGTCATTAGAATCGGACTACTTATGAGTTGACACATATTTGTCTGAACCATATAATCTAAATCGTCGATGTTGGAGTTGATAATTTACATTATAAGTATTTTTTATCTCATAAAAATAAAATGCCTTCTTTAATGTATTGTTAAAAATCGTATACGAAATGGTGTAGCACATACCGTTATGCTAGCAAAAAATGTTCATTAACTAACTTTATTTTATTTACAATAATGCTAATAATAATAATAAAATCTACAACAATAGATAATTATGTACTTTGATGGAATGCTAACTAATAAAAAAAAACATCATTGGAAAATCAATACTTTCTCAGTTACTCTTAGAAGCTATAAAAATAGTAATTATGTTGTTAACGTTTTACTCATGTTATATTATGTAATCTCCTCTAAAAAAAATTTGCTACAATAATTATTGATAAACATAAAAAATATATTACGTAGTATATTATTATTACTTAAACCGTGTAATTGAAAATTTAGAAAATCGCTATACAATACAATTTGGACTTTACTTTGGAACAAGAACCTATGACCTAAAGAAGTTATGACATTAATTTCAAGTATTTATTAGTTTATTTATTTATTAGTTTTACAACTAATATAATATGACTGTCGTGATGTTCTATTTAATAACACCCCATTAATCATAAATTGTTTAGCTGCGATGCGATAGTTTTATTGATACCATTGCCATAATAATATATTACTAAACTATAAGTGATTACCATAAGAAAGTCCTTATAAATTTTAGACATTAGATAGTTTCTATAGTGACTATTATACTGTTATTTTGTATTGTAAATAGCCCAAGGAAATATGGAATGCTATATTTTACTATAAATCTGTAACCAATAATTTTCCATGCCTCCTGCTGATTATATTTTATTCATTTTTTTTAGGTGTCTTTATTATCTTAAGCAGTGTTAGGTATTTATTCAATTTACATTTTGATTTCTTTGCCTTGAAACCGTGTTTCGTTGGTTTAAGTACTTTCAACACCATTCACATAAATCGTGATCGTTGGTCCTTGTCCTTTGTATCGTTTTGCTTAATTATTTTTTTATTATAATTTTCCGAAACATATTTGAAATCGTTAAACAATTATGTTGTACCGAACAAAAGATAATTGAAGTTTATTTTTAGTCAGTTATGATTTAGATAAAAGTATTACAAGCATTGTTAGGACTAAATAATTAATCTTAATAAGTCAAAACTGTTAAAAATTATTATTTATTAGTATTTAATGGTTTGTATTACAGGCGACGTTTTAAAGTTTTAATTGTAATACAATTAAAAAAGGGTAAATCGTATTTATTTTTGTAGCGTTATTATGTGTCCTTTGGTATATATATTTTATAGTATTAGGTATTAAACTATACAAAAAAAATAATTTTGCCAGAAATCTCTAAAGGCATAATTTTTAGATTTTTTTTTCCAATCTTATAAAATAATACATTTCATTGTATTAATTGCATTTTATTAACTAAATAACATTTGAGATCTTAGCGTCCCATATACTTAGTATATATGATATTTTTATAAAACTAAATATGAATACTTTAAATATAATTAATATCATATAATTAAAACTATCCTTTAGCTGTCTCATATCCAAGCTTAATATAATATATATTTTTAAAAATAAGGTACGTACAAATTACTATCTGTGTACCTTTAAACAAAATAACTTAATTAAAATTTATCATTGACAAATGTTTTGTCAAATATTGTCTATATTTAGCCCTTAATTAATCATACTCAATGGACAATTAATATATTAATATATTTTAATTATATCTAGGTTGTACTACTTGGAAAATTAGTTGAAAGCTTCTTTTGAAAAACAAACACTTAGTTGAAATGTACGAGTCGAAAAAAAATAATTTTTAATAATATAATTTAGACGTTATCTTTAGAGACCTTATAAATAGGTAATTATATAATAAGAAAGTCGACCGTTATAAAAAAAAAGAATAATAAACATACGCCTAATCTCTATAATTAATTTAAATTGCATAGTTAATTTTTTAACTCGTAATAATTGTATATTTGTTTGTATGCTGTTACATTTAATAATATTATTATTATTTGATGTTTAATTAATCATTTTGTGTTATCTTAATAGTTATAATTTTTCCAATAACATTTTCTGACATACTAATTAATTTTGTTCGAGTTATTCGAATTTTACTGTTAAGTATATAACAGAATACTTATGAGGTTAAGTTAATTAATGAGGAGAAATTATATGAAATCCGTATTCCGAAATAATTTATTAAGTAGTTTTTTATCCACCACAAGCACAGATATGATTTGTGATAATATGTTATCTATTATAATATATAATAATAGTTGACATCTTTATGAGTCTTCTTCCCACCTATATTTTAATATAGGTGGGATTATGCATATAGCTTTTTTTTATTTTATTTTAAACAATCTTAAATGCCTACGACGTGACAGCTTATTGTTTTATCGTTTTGATGTTAATTCATAGTAAGTGTTTTCCATTAAAAAATTAGCTCTCTAGACAGCTTAAAAACTTTGTTTGAATAGGTACTTGTTTCTTTTATATTGAAACGCACTATTAAAAACCTATTTAAATACGGTAAATATAGCGGTATCATAGTTATATAAGTCTTATTAAACGTTTGTGCTGAAACCTAAATATCTAAATGTCTGGTTTTGAGATAAATACTTGTGTAAAGAGTATTGATTGTGTCTGTGTATTAGCATTAAAACTTTTGTAGCAGCTGCTTGTTTGTATTGTGTTTTACCTCTATGGCAGACTGCTCGGATATACTTCAACAAAAGTTTAAATGTGTACTCGAGTCTCGATGCGTTTTGTAGTTATATAATAAAGTATTTAACAAACAATGTTATCTGATTACCATTTCGAGCCCACAAAATAGAGAAATCCACGATTGCATGTATAATATATTATACGAATACGATACTTAAATGATAAACGTTTTATTTCAGTTCCGTAATCGAGTGGCAAATATATCCAATAGGTGTAACACAACTCTGTTCTGTAAAATATCTTAATAATGATTAGTACAATTTTCCTTGTACACATTAAACGAGGGAAAAATTATTGGTGTCTGATTCAGTTTGTAAAAGTTACCACGGTGTGATGACTTTAAATAAGAATCTTAGGATTACAGAACAATAGTATAACACGATTGTCAACTAACTAAAACCTATGTTAAGCTAGAAGCGGCCAAAATATTAGGAAGATAAAAAGAGAAAAATAGGTTTATCAAATGAAAAAAATATTGAAATATTTCACAGAAAATAAAATAAAAAATGACTGTAATAACCCGAAAAAAGTTCTTCGTAAGAATTTGTTATTGGTTCAAAATGTATTGCTTGATTAATTATTGCCGGATGGATTACTTAGAAAAACTACAGAGTTACAAATATTTTCAAAAAAAACGTGCCATGCTAGTATAAGTAGGTAATTGGACTTTGACCCGAAAACTAAAGGGCGCTGTAATTTGAAGTTGAAAAATATGTACATTTTCGGGATGTTTTTCTCAATTTTAAAGAAATATAACAAATTAGGAAGCAAATAGAAATCTGAAATACCGTTAAAATATGTTAATGCTAAAGATTTGTCGGGTTAAAAAAACACCTATTTTTTAAACCTACTGAACACGCATTTATATTGACACATGATTATATTTTGCATTTGCTCCAACAGGGTCTGGCCTTCACCATCGAAGAGAGACAGGCGCTCGGTATCCACGGTCTGTTGCCGCCGGTCGTGAAGTCGCAGGACGAGCAGGTGAAACAAGCACTGGAGAACATCAACCGGTATTCGGACGACCTGAACAAATACATTTACCTGATGGCTTTACAAGTAAGCACATCCTGTACATCCTAAGTATATGCGCGGCCGCGTTTGTTCTCCTATCCTATTGTTGTCGGTTATGATCGCAGGAAAGGAACGAAAAGCTCTTCTACAGGATAATGGCCGATAACGTGGAAGCGTTCATGCCGCTAGTGTACACGCCAACCGTGGGGCAGGCCTGTCAAAAGTACGGTCTAATCTTCCAGAAGCCCAGAGGTCTGTTCATATCAATACACGACGCCGGGCACGTTTACGACGTACTCAAAAACTGGTAACCACCGACAGGATATTTTAGATAGTTTTTAATTGTGACGTGCACGTACGACTGTTCAGACTTGATGAGGACATTTTGATACAAAAACAATTTTTTTTTTTTTTTATCTAAAAAGAGTGTAACTGGTAACTTTTTTCAATTTTCATATGAAACATTTATTGATTTATTATTTACCGCACAGGCCCGAACAAGATGTCAGAGCCATCGTGGTCACCGATGGTGAACGTATCTTGGGTCTTGGCGATCTTGGAGTGTACGGCATGGGCATCCCGGTGGGCAAACTCGCCCTGTACACAGCGTTGGCCGGCATCAAGCCGCACCAGTGCTTGCCGGTCACCCTGGACTGCGGGACAAACACCCAAGTGAGTTAATAAACATACGACAAAAGTGTGTTCGAACCGTTTAATTGTGATATACCCTCGAACAGAGTCTGTTGGACGATCCCCACTACTTGGGCAGCCGGCAGAAACGTGTCACCGGACAAAAATACGATGACTTTGTCGAGGAGTTCATGCAAGCTGCTGTTAAGCGATATGGGCAAAATTGTCTGATTCAAGTACGATTCATTAAATTATGGTTTAATTAACTCCCACCAATGTAGAATATAGAAACAAAATTCATGAAATAAACTATAATTTATTAAGTCTTTCCAAAAAAAAATATATTTAAAAACATCCATTAAAGAATGCATCTTTTCCCATCCAACAGTAAATGTTAATTAATTTGTTTATTAAGTGTTACACTTGTTTTTTTTTAATGGATTTTTAACACTGTATATTGCTTTGTAGTTTGAAGACTTTGCAAACGCAAACGCTTTCCGTTTCCTGGACAAATACCGCAACAGCTACTGTACGTTCAACGATGACATCCAAGGAACAGCTTCAGTTGCATTAGCCGGTCTGTTTGCATCACTGCGGATTACCAAAACCAGGTTGTCCGACAATGTAATCTTATTCCAAGGAGCTGGAGAGGTAAATACCATTTTTCATTTATGTGAATTATTTGTTTTGCAATTTAAAAACCTAACTATTTGTGAAAAACATTTTAAGGCGGCCCTAGGAATTGCTGAGCTGTGTGTAATGGGAATGCGTAAGGAAGGTACAACGTTGGAAGAAGCCCGCTCTAAAATTTGGCTTTTCGACTCCAAAGGTCTAGTTGTCAAGGACAGACCGGAGGGCGGAGTTACCGGTCATAAGGTCGAATATGCCAAAAGCGTGGCACCTCTTAAAGTTCTTTCTGAAGTCATCAAAAAAGTAAAACCAACAGTGCTTATTGGAGCCGCGGCCATTGGAGGTGTTTTCACAAAAGAAATCATCGAAGAAATCGCATCATACAACGCTCATCCGGTTATCTTCGCTCTGAGCAATCCAACCAGTAAAGCTGAATGCACTGCTGAACAAGCATATACGTATTCTGATGTAAGCGTTCAATTATAATACTTTACATATTTCTTTTTTTTTTTTGTAATCTTAATCCAATACGAATTCTAGGGTAAAGCCGTATTTGCCAGCGGCTCACCATTTAATCCGGTAACATACAAATCCAAAACATACTACCCGGGACAAGGTAACAACTCTTATATATTCCCGGGAGTTGCGTTGGGCGTTATCTGTGCGGGGGTCAAAACAATTTCTGAAGAAGTTTTCATCATTGCTGCTCAAGTATGTTGTATACATTTTTATTTAATTAACAGTTTTCTCTCTCCTACAACTATGTGTTCATGTTTGTCTTTAGACACTTGCCGCCCTTGTTACCGAAGAAGACTTGGACAACGGCAGTTTATATCCACCACTACAATCCATACAACAGTGTTCGCTGAAAATCGCAGTCAAAGTAATGGAATATGCCTATGAAACTGGTGTGGCTAGTTCTTTCCCAGAACCTCAAGATAAAATTGAATTTATCAAGGCACAGCTGTACGACTACGGCTATAGCTCGTCGTTGCCGCCCCTGTACTCTTTCCCGTCTCATTTGTGATGATCACTAGGATTTTTTTTTGTATAATAATAATTTTTTGTTTATTATACACTTAACTGAGGAGATAACCAGATTGACAGCTGGCATTAGCTTACGGCATCGCTGTCAACATTATTTGATCCACATTCAATACACTTTTTACTCTGTTATTTTACTGTACTATCTTTTAGTTATACATAATATTGTTTTACTTACTTTTTGTGGGGGCAGGTAATTTTTTTTTTTTTTTTTAATGCATTGATACCAATTTTATTTTATTGTTTATAAATGTGATTATTTTATTGAATGTTTGTTGATGACAGTATAGCATATATTAGGTTCGTTTTTTAATGTATAATTTGTTTGTTTGTTTTTTTTTTTGTTTAATAAAAACCATCTCTAAAATTTTTGTTTCTCTAGTATCTTTGATTCTGAAATTTCTATCTGAGTTAAGGGATATACACAAATTGTTTACCGTACAAGTTAATTTGTTAACATACTCAACATATTTTAAACAATGGGTGTATGGACATACCGAGTATAGTTTCAATAATATTATATTACATTATACGTCCACTGATTTTAATTAAGGCATTTTGAAATAAAAATTGTCGTCTTAAAATAAATACTTTTAAAAAATTATTTTATTTAAAAAAAAAAAAAAATACCCATACAAAATACATATCACTGAATTCAATAATTTACAAAACTATTTAACAATTTGTTTTGTTAGTGAATAATACAAACATAATAAGTAGTGCTTATTTAATAAAAAAAAAATTGCAACTTGACAATGGTCCCAGTTTCAGTTAGTAAAATAATACATGTTGTCACTTATTAAAATTAAAATAGTCTACATATTGTTTTATAAAATTAGACTAACTAACTAACTTATTACAAATTACAATTAAGTCTCAACTGTTTTTTAAGACGTAGATTTTGATTGATTTTACATGATAAAACAATTTGAGTAATTAAAAATTGTATTATAAAAAAAAAAAAAAAAATAGAAGCTAGCTGTTTTAAGTAAAAACTTTGATTTCAATCAAATCAAACATCAAACCAGTTAACATCGTCGCCATGACATTTTTTTATATGATTTCTTAGGTCAAGTTTGACAGAGTATGACCCAAAGTCACACAGTTCACAAACAAACTTATCGCCTCTCTTGTGGGTACGCTCGTGCATGGTCAGTTCAGCAGAACGGCTGAACTCAAGATTACATATCTCACATTTGCGGCCGTTATGTTCCATCTTCATGTGTACCTTGTAGTTGGACGGTCTAGAAAACGACTTGTTACACTCAGTACAAGTGTATGGTTTTTCGCCGGTGTGCACTCGCTGATGCATGAGAAGTGTATATAGCCTAGCAAAATTCTTACCGCAGGTGGTGCAAGTGTGTGATTTTTCACCCGTGTGCACGGTCATGTGTATCTGTAAATGTTGTTTTTCATAGAAGGTTTTGGGACACAAATCGCATAAAAAGTCTTTGGTACCTTTGTTGTGAACGATATCACAATGCTTTTTAAAAGACTGGTTTGACGTAAATATTTTACAACATAAATCGCAATTTATCTTGGTCGTATGACTCTTCATGTGACTGATTTGACTGAGTCTGCTCATACACAAACGTCCACAAATAAGACACTTGTATTTTTCAGGGTTTTCGTGGTCTCGCAAATGTATTCGAAAATATCTATCACTCTTATAAGACCGACCACATATGTTACAAACCATTCGGGTAGTGGTTTGGTGAATTTTCTTATGCTTGTACAAGTTGGCTACCATGTAGAATTTTTTATCGCAATGCATGCACTCGTAACTTGGAGGTCGTTCTTTTATGCCACAATGATGTCGTAAAATATGTTTTTTTAGTTGATTTTTGTAGGCTGTTTTTCGACCACAATAATTACATTCATAGTCCATGGCGCCATCGTGAATTATTCGTATGTGTTTTTTCAGCGTCGAATTACTTGTAAATGTTTTATCACATGCATCACATTTGTATTGGACGTGGTTCTGGTGTCTAAACATGTGTATCTTGTAGTATTTCATAGAAGAAAATTTTACATCGCAAATGACACATTCTATACTAATATGCTTTTTTGAATGCTTGTTCAATGCATCCTCTGTTGTAAACGCATCATTACATTTGTTGCATTTATATGACGAGCTCGAATGTCTAATCTTGTGGTTTTTAAATGTTTTTATGCATCTAAAGGACTTTTCACATAAATTACATTTGTAGGGCTTGACTTCTTTGTGATCTTCGACCATGTGTTTCAGTAAATTAGGTTTATTGTAAAATTGCTTAGTGCAAGAACTTATCTTACATGTGTACTGTAACTCAGACGTTTCATGATTTTGTACGTGAGTGCGAAAGAGAGTTTCAATTTTGAATTTTTTTTGACAATATTTACACTCAAAAGTGTTATCGGTTTGACAGTTCAAGTTTGTCGAGTGTTTTTCTAGATCAGATTTTTCATGAAACCCTATGTTGCAGCGGCTACATTTGTAGACACTTTCGTCAGATATCGTTATGGTTTTCGGGTTAGACTCAACCATAGCCTCCCCTGACAATACATGATTGGACACATTATAACGAGTAGGCGATAAACCTTTGCCATCCGAAAGCTCTGCACACGACATTGTGTACTTCAAGTGTCTTTTTAAATTATATTGATTGGTAAACAATCTGTTACACTTTGTGCATTGAATATCGTTGGGTCGTTTATGATCTAACTTGTAATGATTAAGCAGTAAATGTCTGTGCTTAAATCGCAATTTACAAATTTCACATGGGTAAGGTTTTTCTCTATCAATTTGTTCAGATGTTATTGTAGTTTCTTCATTCGACAGCTCCTCGGTTAAATCGATGCAATCATTTAAATTATTCACCAAGTGTTGATCAGAACTATGTTGGGAGTGTGTTGTACTTTTTAATGAACTCTGAACATGTTCAGTCATTACAGGACATTTTTCATTTGACACCGTCGAATTGTTTGCATTCACTTGATTAGTCACTTTTGTTTTCGTTGCGTCGTCTATCGACTTAAAGTTCAATTTATTATTTACAGTCAGAGCGGGTGCATTATACGACGATTCAGAATGTGTAGACGACGAGCTATTGTTATCAAAAGCCTTTAAACAGGCCACCGTTTTTCTCGCAATGTGTCTAATCAAGTGATCTTTTCTTGTGAAAAACTTCTTGCAATTTTTGCATTGAAACTTCGTAGAGAACTTATGTGATTTCCTGTAATGATGTACCAGTAAATCATTGTATTCAAATTGTAACCCACAAATTTCACAAATTTCTGGTTTTAGTTTGTTACTAATAGCCTTATCAGTATTGCTACTTTCGGACGTTATTGTAGTTTCTTCTTCGCTGGAATTATTACAGTGGTTGTTATTTTCAAAAAAATTATGAACCGACGGTCGATCGAAATTATCTTGTGAATGCACTGAATCTAAGTCAGAATTGTCTAGTAGATCCGGAATAGACACATTAGGGTGAGTGGGCAACTTTAAAGTGTCATCGAAATACCATCTACAGGTTAAAGCGGTTTTCATGTGTCTTTTTAAATTAGTTTTGGATACAAACGTTAAGTTACACTTAATGCATATATGCACATCAGAGTGTTTAATGTTCGAATTCAATTCATGTGCCAAATTAGTCATCGCAGTGTTGTCAGCCGAGTTTGAGTTTGAATTGCATTTAAAACTATGATCAACCAGTAAACTTTTGAAATGAAATCGTAATCCACAAGTTTCGCATGCAAAAAACGTTTTCTCATTTTCGTTATTTACAGACGTTATCGTAGTAAATGGGTTATTAATTAAATTGTTGTCGACTGAATTAGACAAGTTTTGGTCCACAATGGTCGTTGTTAACAGGTTAATCTTGTGCACTTGTTCGCCACAAACGTAACAAAGTCGATCGGATGAATTGTTATGCAAGTCCGATGACAGCAATTGAGTGTGTAAACATATTTTTTCTACATGGCTCTCTATGTGTTTTCTCAGGCAGCTTTTTAATTTTATTTTTCTCTTACAGAAATTACATTCAAACAAACATTGTCCATCTTGAGCTTCGATATGTTCTTGAAGATTTGTTTTTTTCCTAAACTCTTTAGAACATAAATCACATTTGAAACTTGAGCACATTTTTGGTGATTTGGTTATTAACATTTTATTAGTGGTTGAGCTGGTGTTTGCATTATTACTTGTCAACTCAAATGCTGCTTTTTGGTTGTCTTTATTATTAGATTTTCTTTTACTCCACAAATGAACTATCAAATGTCTTACCATAGCACTTTTGTATCCGAATTTCCTATCACAATAATTGCATTGAAATTTGTTATTTCCATTATGAACTATATCTACATGTTTTGTCAAGTTCTTCTTTCTTTTGAACTCTTGATTACAAATGTCACATTTAATGACAATATCACTACAATGATCGGTGTCTTCAGCTCGATTGTCGAGTACCTCTCTTTTAGTTGAACCATTATTACTTACATTATAATCTGATTTTGCTATTGATTTGTTCATGTGATATTTTATGTGTTTCACTAAATATTTTTTATTTCCTATCCTCCGCCGACAATAATTGCATTTGAAACTTTCCAACTTTTCGTGACACACTTGCAAGTGATTGATGAGGCTAATTTTTTTGCGAAAACTTTTTTCACAATGATGACAGTTGTAACGTTTAGTGTTTTTCGAATTGTTATTTTTAATTTGATCGTCTATAGATGTATCATCCACAACGTCTGAGGCGATGGAAGGCGGCGGAGGGTGACACAAAGTGATATGGTCTATTAGACAATCCGAAGTAGTAAATTCATCACAACATATAACACACCTAAAAAGCGACATTACTCCGTGGGCAACTTTCATGTGCAACATCCAAGAAGATTTATTTTCAAATACGTCTGAACACTTGATACACTCTATTCTATAGTTGTGTTTGATAACATGTTTCTTAAAAATTTTATAGTTTCTGAATTGTTGACCGCAAAAATGGCATATTGTTTCCGGATGAAAAATTCTATGGTGCAAGAGAAATTCCATACTTGGAAATGTTTCGTCACACCTTTTACAAGCATACGATTTATCCATCATATGTTTAGCAATGTGAGCCTGAAGAAACGTTTTATACACAAATTGTTTTGTACAATAATAACATTCGAAAACTTTGTCATGCAAAGCTTTGATATGATCTTTTAACTGCTTCTCATCCGAAAACTCTTTGTAGCACACGTCGCATGTACTTTGTTTGCTATTGTTCTCACTAGTCAATGCTAAATAATTATCGTTAGCTTGAATGATTAACGACTCTAAATCCAATGCATTAGTAGAAACATTGCTTTCCGTTTCACCAGGAATTAGCGGCAAATTATTGACGTTATTCAGTTCCGATATCAACAGCAATCTATTAAGCTGCGACTCTTCTTCATTTAAATCTTGTATCCCATGATCAGGCATTGAAGAAAATTCTTCCAACTGAGTTTCGCTGTCCTTAAAATTATCATTATTTTGTACTGAGTTATCATTATTTTCATAATTTTCTAACTTAACATCATCTAAATTAACTTGATCCGTGCACTTCTGTCTTTCATCCTCGCAAGGTTTTTCTACTGTTAATGGCTGTAAAATACCATGTTGAATCAAATTCTCAACGACTTCGTTGGTTTTATTAACTTCGGACACATCGTAATTATTGGTACTAGCTTCTAATTTTATACTTTTTTGAAATAATTCAAGTCCTGTATTTTCATTCGATTGTTGATCATTGTTTAACAATATTAGTTTCTCACGTTGTGTAACAACTCTGTTAGATAATCGCTTTTTGGAAGGTGACTTCTTGGTTTTTTTCTGTGTTCTAAAAAGGAATAATAATATTTAAATTGTATAGATTAATTTGTTCTTGTTGAAATTTGAATACTAAAGTCAGTCTTGTGACTTATGGAACAGGGTAGCGCAATTATCAGTTCTGTTGCAAAAGTTTACTTACATGTATTTCCCTATAAGCGTCGGGGACAAACGTTCTAACAGAACATAAGACCCATACCACAAATCATCATTTTTCGATATATACGAGCTATTCAATTCTTGGTTTTCTGCAACTTTAGTCGGTTCTACCTGACTACAATTCCATTCTTCTTTAACTCTACAAATAAAAATACATGTTTATATTGTCATATTGAACAATAATAATTTTGTTTTTCATTTATTACTTGACGGAGTCCAAATTCAATCTATCCAATACCACGATTGGTTCGAGGGGAGTTTCTTGTTTTTTCTTCTGTTTTTTCCCCATTTTCTGAGTTCTGTAAAATAAAGATTACTATTACTTATTTAGTAATAAGTAACATTTATATTTTATTTGTTATCCTTTCAATTCCAATAAGAAGTCATGCTATACAATGTTAAATCCTAAAAAATACTCCATGCTTTTAATACTTAAAATAAATATTTGATGTAGAAAAACACATATACAGCCGACATAAAAGACACATAGTATAGGTCTGGTTAAACATAACCAGAGATAACTAAAAAAATTAACTAAAATGAATCTTTAAAAAAATAAAAATTAGTATTGATAACATTTGACATTTTTTTTAAACCATAAAAGTGAAAAATAATTTAATTTAAAAAAAGCTATCACAAAGTACAAGTTCATATCTTTAATTTTATGTTTTTATATTTTGTTCTCCAAGATAGTGGCCTAACCAAAAAAGATTAGGACTCATAACAACACCTGTCAAGTTTAAAAAAAAATGCCGAAACGAAACTGCTTTAAATAAGCAGGTGAGATATCCTTTTTATAACTATTGGTTATGATATGCTCTCCTTTAGGGAGATAGTACTACATCAAAATTCTACAAAAAAATTAACTTTTCCTTTGGAATAATAATATAAACTACTAAACGTTTAAAATGTTACAACAATATTAAAATATATAAAATGTCTTACGCTTACCAGTTTCAGTGACTACCGGCTGGTATTTAATACTTCTTATATACTATTATAGCACACATTATTTAGAAAAAATTTACTTTTGAAAAAGGACGCACCACGTAACCGTATTTCAATATTAATACGTTTTTAATATTATCATTTCGTTGCATTCGGATGATTTTTCTTTGTACGGTGTACCTAGGTTATAGGTAGGTATTTGGTGGAAAAAATGGATTTTACAATTTAAATTTATCATCGATTTTAAACCTTGTCACCACCGTCAGCACCTGTGTACACTGTATAATGTATTAATATGTGTCCAGTGTCGTGTAATCAAAATTTTTCATTAGCATTTAGCTGCTATAATTCAAACGATACAGAACACTGATAACAAAATGCAGTTGCGACAGATATTTTTGTAGATGGATATTGAATAACGGTTGCCGAGACAATTCAATTATTATACACTTAGATAGAATATTTGTATACATTAAATTTATAAATAATTATTAAATTATAATAATTATTAAATTATAAATTTTATTATCCGATAATCGGTAACCAATAACCATATTTGTGTAACTTGAACTTGTTATTAAATTTCTATTTTTATTTAAATTGACAACAAAATTGAGTGTTGGTATTTTTAAATTGAATTGACATTTAAATTTTATAGTTTGTCCATGACTTTTAAATATACCCAGTTATTGCAGTATGCACATCCCCACTTTATTATTTTATCAATTCACAATATGGCAGCGTAAGAAGAGTACATCATTGTTTTTTTTTTTTGATAAATATATACATACTACCATAATTGAAATATACAAGGTTATTGTACATATACCTCTTTTTCATAAAATATTAGATGATAAAATCAAGTATATAAGTACACGATAAAATATATAGTAATAGTAAAATAATATATAGTAAATTGATATCCCGTTACGCTGTCATTTTATTTCTGAAGATAACAATTGGATGGAGAGGGAGTAAGAATGCAATAACCTAGTATATCTAAGCCATGAGTTAGTCTATATTTATTACCTTCTTTTTTAGTATTATTAAATACTAATTGATAATACAAAATTGTCATATATTATAGTATACACCATGAAGAGTAAACTCTTCTAGACTTCATGGTATACACTATACACCGAGATTATAGAATAAAATATCGTATAATTTTTGGTTTTGTATAATTTTATGAAAATAAACGTCATGAAATTTGAATTGTATTATAAATACTGATCTAAATTCGTATCGTACATAATATTATACTGTTGAAGGGTCAACCTGGTATTTGGTAAAAGAACAGATGGGGTATTAGTTTATCTAATCATTATATTTTCGCGAAAATACCGAAAGCAAAACGTTTTGCTGTTAACCATTTTGGCGATGTTTTAATGTCAAAACTGTTTTAATTAAATGTTTGCTCTTATTAGTAAACAGCTTTTCCAGCAGTTTGTAATGTTTCATGTTTGGTACCTGTGATAATGTAAAATAATTTTTGCGATAAGCAAATAATCCTTATCAGTCCAAACATTATCAGCACATATCAGTAAACATGTTTGCTTTCGCTACCACCGCGAAAATACGCTTTTTGGTAGGAGTTGTCAGTAAGCAGGGTAACTGGTTGTGGCAGGGTAACTGGTTGAGGTAGGCATCAGCAGCGGGTGCAGATAAACCTTTTTATCTATTCTGTGGATAAACGTCGTTAAAATTATAACCTCAAAAAAAAAATTAAAAAATTCCAAGGAAAACAACAATTTGGTATTATCATTTAAATTTATCACTATTTTATTTTAAAATTTTTTTATTTAAAGCATCGCGATTTGCAATATCAAATAAAAATTATAATATTGTTATAACTTGTAACGCAATCACAGACAGACTGCAAACTGCAGAGTGCAGCTGTAAATGCATAATATACACATGATACTACACTCATTAATTTATTATTAGACAAGTATTGCGTTTAAACTCTTGGTGATCGTTTTTATCGATAATTTTTTTTTTTTGTCATCTATCCGAAATTTAAATCGTGTTAGCCGTCATTAATTTTTTAAAAATTTTCGTTTTTTTGTCTCCACAAACGTGTTTTTTATTTTTTTCATAAGCCCTCAATGAACAATAATATACAATAAAGCAGTGTGATTTACAAAGTGTTAGTCATAAATATATAAATCAATTTTTATAACGATGGCCGATAGCGACAGCGATGATAATTTATTGTCGGCAGACTTTTTGGAACCGGGCGAACTACTTGACTCCGATGATGAACAGTTAGACAACAACAGTACGGCAGCAAGAACTAGTCAGTCGTTACCCCAGAATAGACCCAAGGTAATATATTTAATAAAAAATAGTTACAGAACAACTTTTCCAGGTACTATTTTATTTTTTACTACATTGACCTACTTCCATTACAAATAAAATCATTATTTTTGGTGTTGTTTAGTTAAACAGAAATACATTCCAAACATCTGCCGTGACAAGTCAAACTGAACACCAAAAGTGTACTTCGGACATCACCAATAATCAAATTCAATATGTCCTAAACAGGTACAATAGCTTAATTTACTCAATTATGTTATTTTGTTAGAAGAGATAAATCACAATTAAAATTTCTACTGATTGTCAACAGTTTGGGTATGGACAAAAACAACAAAGATATTCAGCTAAATGCTTTGCATCTACACGGAGTCATGGGTATGAATGCCAAGGACATTATCGAATATTTTGGTGAATACGACGCCAAATTTTTAGAATGGGTATCAAACACTGAATGTAAGTAATAAAATTACATTAGTTTTTTCTTGATTATTGTTAAATTTACATTACACTTATTTATAGGTAATGTGGTATGGTTGAATGATCGCTTACCTACCAAAGCGTTGTTGAATTTGACTCGGCCAATACGAGAGCTTAAACATTTAACATCTGCAGTAGACGACCAATTGACTAACGAAGACTTTAACACCATTTCGAATGATGATCATATGGATCAAGACGATGTATGTGAACGAAAAATAATAATACCTATACAATTCTATAGAGTACCTACTTCTATAATTTCTATTTAGTTATATTTTTGTTATTATTAAAGGTACTAGTGTCGGAAGACTATGTGAGCTGTGTTGGTATTACTTTGCCACCAGGTATGTGGCGAAAAGCAATCAAGCCGCATCCGAAAGCCAAATGCATTCTAATGAGGTATAGTACAATCCATGACAAGCAAGACGCCAAGAACAAAAACGACACGGCCGAAGACGGGGGTAATTTTTTAACGACACTGAAAATTTATTAGATATTATCATTGTGAAATTTATATACATTTTAGATTACGAATTATTTTCACAAGACAGCCGTAAACGTAAGTTTGTACCAGTTATTAATCATCCAGATATTGGCGATGAGGTATTGAAAGATGATGTGCGATGGAAATTAGCCAAAGAGCCAGGACTTACGACTTGGACAGCTGTCGCAAAGACTTGGAGCCAATATGACAATGCGATGGATGCGAAATGTAAGTATTTTCATTGTGTTTATATTGGGAACAGGTGTAAAAATATAATACGTATTTAATTCATACAGATAAAACAAAAGTACGTACTCCGTCGCCACCGCCTCCAACATCGTCTTCCGGAGCAGCTAGTGAAGACGACGATGACGACTTTACTGAAGCTAGGTATAGAGAGAGTAAAATCCCAAGAATGAGAATGTACGCTGACGATGAAGCTCAGACTCCGATTCGGAAACGGGTTAACTCGTTTTCAAATTCAAGGTATTATGACTTCTTCAAATCATCATAATACACAAATAATAATTTTACTATTGTAATATTTAAGACATCAAACGAACATTGCCAATGACTTACGTGAACGACTTAATGGACGTTTAGTATCGGCTAAGGTTGCCAAAGCGATGCGTGCTGCCAAAGGACATCAGTATAGTGATGATGAATCATTTGACGTTGATATTGAGGACGTACATGATAATTATGAAGGCGTGCAATTTAATCGTGTGACGCGACGTGATATACCGCGTCGTCAGTATCAGTATGAAGACGACAACACTAGTGAAGAAGAGGAAGTGTATGAAAAAAGACATATTAAAAGTAGATTGGGTCCTTACAGAAAACAGCATGGCAATCGGAATAGCTCCCGATCGGTGTCTCCTCTTCAGATTCATATAAACAACGACAAATACTATAAACGTACAAACAGGCGTTAACACGCAAATTAAATTATTTAATTGAAATTTTTTGAAATGTTATAATAATTATTGTAATTGAAAAATCGATTAGGTAATATAAGTCTTTTGTTTGCTTTTGAATTTTTTTAAACAACTAAGGTTTTATTGTATTGTAAAAATATACAAAAATTGATTGACATCACTGTGAGTCTTCAATGTTTTGGTTTGATTTTCCATTTTTTTTATCAGATTTGAAACTATTTTTAACATAACTCAAATCATCTATTTACTATTTTTTAGTGTAAAAAGTTATTTAAGCCATTGGTACAATTAAAATAATTTAAGTTGGGTTAACTTTTTGTTAACCTAACTTACTTATCCTAGTTCTTACATAACTGAATGCAATAGAACATATTGTTTTAAGGAACTGATGCATAATCTATTATCATAATTATCTATCTATTTAATAAGAGTTTAAAACAGTTTTATGTACTTCAATTTTTTTAGAATTTTTTAATTTTAAATAATTGTTTTATCAAAATGCAGTTGTTGAAATTATAAAAACAAATTTGTTTATAAACTGAAAGTATCCAACAAACAAATTGGATGGTAAAATTGTTTTATTTATATATATATATATATTAGTGTTATTACCATAAAATGATTACAATATGAAATTGCTCAAAATGTTTTCTAGGAAAATAACATACATTTCAAGCATTACAAGTTCAGTTGAAATACTTAATACTTGTTAATATTGTTATATCTGATGTCTTATTACTCGTCTTGGTAAGAAAAATAAAAATCTGTATTGTAATTTTTGTATTGTGTTATAATTAAAAAAAACATACAAAATTTGATAATACATGTATAATAATACGAGAACATTTACATACGTAGTTATAGTACCATATACTTCTATTAATATAACATAAAGTTCTTCGATAAGTCAATCGTACGGGACAATTGGCAGTTTGTTTGAGAAAAGTATTTTTGGGACGTAAAAAAATAATTAAAATATTTACTCAAGTCTCATTTGATTGATCTTTGTCAAAACAAATAGTATAATATTATAATATACGGTACATTATGTACTATGCCTATGACAATAATAATTATAATTTAAATTTAAAAAAAAAAACTAGTAAAAAGTATAAAAAGCCATGATAAGTTGAGATTAATATTACATAATAATATATTCATGGATACATGAAAAAAATATCACAAAATGTTCGATTTCGCTCAGAAATAAAATAAAAACTTTTCAAAATTAATTTTTCACCTTTAAAGTTCTGAAAACTCAATTTAGGAGGTCTCGATAGGAAAACTTTTGTTTTTTTTTTCTCGGGGCAGTTGATTTCAATTTCAATTTTTATCGACGATAACCAACGTGGACAAATAGAACAAAAAAAATAACGAAAGCTCAAAGGCCTCTCAGGGCCGAGGTCAAGGCGATCAGGAGGAAAGACGTCACAGGCCATAGACAATTGCCGGAAGCAGAACTTGACGGTCCAAATTCTCGGTCTTGTTGTTGCTTGACACCGATGAGACCCTTTTTCGGCGAATACTTAGGCTGATGTGTCGACGAGCAGTTGAACCAGAAGGGTCCGGTGGGCGAAGGCTCTTCCCGGTACACCCGCATTCGCAAATCGTTGAACTTCCAAAACTCGCGGTTCTTGAAGAAGTACGTGGCACCTGCAATATACGAACATCCGAGCGATCAGACCAAAAATATCTAAATAGTAACGGCGGGGGTTTCACTTGCCGTCGTGCCACTGGAAAGCGGCGTCGATGTTGTACCCGACGCCCCTCCAAATGGACATGTCCCTGGGGTAGTCCAGTTCCATTTTGCCGGTCTCGTCGTCGTACCTCCAGTACATGGTGCCGCTGAAAATGTACGTTTTGCTGTTGTGGCCCCAAACGGTGGCGGCGTCCACGCGGTCCAGCTGATCCGGAAGTCCCAGGGACGTCAACGGTTTCGGATATCCGGGGACGGGCACGTTGCCGTGGTAAACGTAATACTGGCGACCTGTCCGACAAAAACATTGTAGTTGATATTTTACAAGCAGAATGATACAACGTGTAAAAGTGAAATTTTCTAAAAAAAAAAATTAGCAAATAACAGCCATATTATTTAATGTATTAAGTATAGCGTTCGTGTTTATATTGGACTCTTAAAGTTTTGGGGAAAATCGTTTTTTGTCGTCCTACTGTGTAAAAAATGTAACGAAAATGTTTCCAATAATGTATATTATATATTATTAAGTATGTTTTTCTACTGAATTGAAAACTTACATAATATTTTAGAATTGAGACTATAATATGATGGTATTTCTTTTACATAACATTTTTTTGAATTAAGTCATCAGTATATTAAATAAATACATGCCAACATAATTATCATATTTACCTATGAAGAACACTATCTTTCCGTCTTGTCTCTCGTAAACGGCGTCCACTTGTTCCAGGTCGTCGGGCAAGTTGTGCCAAAGGCGGTTGATGAGCGCCGGGTAGCCCAAGTAAAGGCCTTTGGGGCCTATCCGCCAGATGTATTTGCCTTTGAAGAAGAACGTCTCCTTTCGGATGATGGACACCGCGTCGAACGACGTGTTGCAGTAATCCGGTTTGAGAGCGTCCACCGGCGACGGCCGTCTGACTTCCGGCTGTTTCGGCGTGGTCGAGGGCACGACCATCGAGGTTCTGGTTGCCACAGATTTGGCCGTGGTGGTAGTGGTGGTCGTGGCCACCGTAGTTGTGGCCATCGTGGTTGTGGTCGGCGTTTCCGGTCTGCGGGACGATGGTCTATACGCCGTAATGTTTCCCCAGATCTTGTCGCTCTTCGAACCTATTAACGCCGAAGACAACAGTTAGCTAATATACTAAATAGGAGTTTTAGGACTGCCAGTAAATGCCCAAAGTATTAAATTTGAAAATCGAAAAACGACATTAAAAAAAAAATCCTCCTCTTCTCGAGTAAAGAGTATATGATATTTTCTTGATTTTTCACTGTAAGATAATAGGTTTACGCTAAAACATGTTTTTGACAAAATGAACAGTGTTGCGCACTTTCAAATTGATTTTTTAAATGATGAAATTGTTTTGATAATTTGCTGTAGATAAAAAATTCGATTTCTAAACAAAAATTCATAGGCGACATTTGATAAATTTTTAGTATTAAAAAAATTTGTTTTTTAAAAACAAATTAAAAACTAAGGGGCAGAGGCGAATACTTTTTTATTCCACTTCTTGTAGAATATCAAATAGGTACCACAAAATGTTATTACAGACAACTGATTAAAAATAATAACAAAAGCCACAGCAGCAGGGTGTCAGCGATAAGTTACACGGGTAAACCAATTTGAGAAATTTAACCGAGACTGGACGAATTATAGTAGTGCACTTTTAACTTTGTTGAATGAAGTTCAATCAAATATTACCAATCGAGTGAGGCGTTTAAATATTTAGTTGACTTATGTTAAAAGAGCTAACGTTAACTTGATGAATTAATAATAATTTAAGCTCACCATAGAGGATTTGTATGCCGAACCGGTCGTCGTCGGGTAGTTCAAAGTCGGGTTTCAGGCCATGATACCACGGGAACATCAAAGCTCCTTGGACCGACGAATGAGACAGACCCAACGAGTGACCGAATTCGTGAGCGGCCACAGTGAACAGACTTGTCCCTGTTTACAATAAAAAATACCAAAAAAAAAAAAAAACGAATTTTTAGCAAAGCATTATTGGCAATTAGATATTTTGTCAGCAGTTAGTTGTAAATATACCAAACACTAACCATCGGGACTTTCTTTGCCGTTCAACAGCCATTCTTCCTCTTGGTCGAAATGGGCGTCTCCGCCACGTCCGGCTCCGGGAAAGAATGCGTGAGCCAGCACGTTTCCGGGTCCATCGAACGGATATCCGTCGCTGTGGAAACCTCTAAACAAGGCATACACAATATGTCATATAAAATGAGTAACCGCCAAACATTATAAAAAAAACACGAGTAGACGCTGCAGTATTTTTACATAGGTTAAAAGCAATTAGAGGTGGAAATCCTTCTCCCCCCCAAAACTTTACTGCTGATACCACCTTCTAATACGCATTTGTTAATTATTTTATTATAAATTAAGTACGGCGTATTATTGTATATTGGACACTTACTTTTCGAAGAACACCAGTATGTCGGCCGTCTCGCTGTTGACTTCCTGGAAAGTAAGTTTCGAGTGTTTAGCCCAGACTTGAAGCGCTTTGCGAAGGTCCGACCTGGCCCATCCGTGGTCCATCCGGTCAAAGTGTCTGGTTCGCAAACTATAGACAAACCAATCATTAGTGATGTTGTTTTGAATTTTCCACAAAAAAAAAACATTGTTCAAAAAGCGAGTCCGCCGTGGAAATGTATACTATTATTTAGACTGAAAAACGACCGTCAACAGAAGACCTATACAAGTTCCATGCTACGTCTAATTTTAATATATGGGTAACAGTTAATCTTGCGGTTAATGTGTTATGTCTTAGGTTAGTTGTAAAGATAATGAGAAAAATAGGTTAAGTTCAAAAACATCACATAACGATTAGTACGATATTATTTAATGTTGTCAAAATAATATGGCGTCATGTTTTTGGCAAAAATAATGTATTAAAAAAAATTACGCTGGTCATAAAAACTTCTATTAAAACGGTTTGTATCTTGTAAGATTTTAAAATTTATTTTATTACTTAATTACTTTTTTTTTTGTAATTGGCAACTGAATATTATGAGCAGTAATATATAAATGTATACATGTTTATATGTACACATATAAAATGTGTATAACATATATAATGTATATATGTTCACTTAAAATAAATCAACAAATATAAAACAATAAAATAAAATATTTAAGTATTAAATATTTGTTATATGTATTAAATTTAATTAAATGTATATACAATTATTTAAGTATATATTTTACATTAATATATGTTTATTAATGTACTATTGTTAATATAAAAATAAAACAAATAATTGCCAATTTTTAATTGAACAAATTATAAACTTTTTAAATTGTGTACTATTGTATGTATGTAATAAACACAAACATTGCTGGTTTTTATATTAAAAAACCATACCTATATGTACTTTAAATTATTTACACTACATTTGTGTGTAGGTCAAAACTTGGTTAATTGCTGGGCTATTCCTATTTTTAAAACGTTTTGCACCATTTTGAAAACATTTTACTTTTAGTTATAACTATTGTGAACACATACTTAGATTGCTGAATGCATATAAACGTGTGGCAGTTTTAGAGAATAACCGTTAAAAAACACCGTACATTGTACGCTGGGTCTACGTGAGGATATTATTTTTTATATTTAATTTTTTTTTTTATCATCTCTGGATTGTCCAACACATGCATGACATATTTCTGCGGTATATAATGTAGTATATATTATCTTGCGGGGTTGTGTCTTTCCGAGGGGTAAAACGCTACGAGTACAATATTTAATTGATCCTAATTAGTATTATAATAAAAATAATAATATATAAAACTACAGCGACTATTTTTTTTTTTTTACACGACATGCGGGTAGTCTGTAAATATGTTAAAAAAACGTGGTTGTATGGTTTGACTAGTGTAAGTATATTAATATACCGAATCAGGCGTTTAAATCATTGGCATTAGCATGAGGGCAAAACCAAAACGCCATCTACTGTGTACATAATACATTTAAAAAAACTTTGGGTCGTATGATCATTATAAAACAAATATGCTAAAGAAAGGATCTTTTTATTTCGTTTGCATTCTGTTGTACTGAATTGATCAAACCTACAGTTTTCTATTCAACTTCTTCGCTACCAATGTAAGCTACACCATCAAAACTTGAATAATTTAAAGGTGTCTAACTTAATTTTAAATTTATCGTACTATAAAAAATCAAAACAAGAATATAAAATTGGGAACTATAAGAATTTTTTATTACAAAAATGGAAAAATAGCTCTCCCAAAGTAAGTTGGGAAAATGTTGAATAAGATGAAAAAGAAATTAACAGTAAGTATAGGTATTTCGATGAACTAACGTCGATCCCACCGCCCCAATCTTGATTCCTAATAAAAAAAAAAGGTATTTCGACGAATAAAAATTATCTATTATTCGGTGAATACCTTTATTAACTTATAGCTACAGATCAAAAATGATTAGTAAATTTATTATTTATAAATAAAAAATATTGTCTTAAATAATTTACTTGAATGCATTACAACTTTTTTGCTTAACAGTTTTAAATGTAAAATTGCACTTACATTACTCTTTTGTTAACATTTATACCAGTCGTGAGTCGATCCTGTTGACTAATTATATTATGTTTTTGGTGATTTTATGTCAATTTTATTCAATAGTGTGGTAGGAGAGGTAAGGTAATTGGAAACAAGAAAACTCATAGTAATGCTTATATATTTTGTGACATTAATTACCATGTTTTTTTATTCCAAAGGAATTTTTAAATAACATTTTAGTGTGTCACTAAAAATCATATAAAAAAAAAAAACACTTATATTTACATAAATTATTAAAAGTTCACTTATAGTACACCGTTTTGATTAAACCAAAATAACATTATTCCTTCTATATAATATTCTATACTTTTATAAGTGTACAGGTTGAAATCTATAAATGAAAATTAATTCGAGGAAATGTCAAACTGACCGCGGAAAAGGTGTGCAAAAACACTATAAGTTAAGTCACGAAAACCGATTTGACATGAAATAATTTTTATTCATAAAAAAAAAAAAAAAAAACGAACCGCTCCGGAAACGAAACGATTTGTTTTAATTCTAACGTCGAAGTTTATTAAACTCTATGGGGAGGTCGACTTCTATCGGCTGTCGTGGGAAGGTCTGGTCGTTTTTCAGCTGAATCTTTTTCTCCATTGACAAATAAAAAAAAAAAAACATTATTATTTCAAAACAACCAACTTTCCATTCCAACGATCGTTTATACAAATCAACAACAATAATGACTACTAAAACTACTAAATTCAAATTAGAAATGAATACATTTAAAATGGACTGTTCCAAGCAGAATCGACCAAGACATATTACCAATAGTAGGCATTTGGTGACAATTTATCGACGAGCAAGCAGATTCCCGAGTCGCTCACTCAAGGAGGTTGTGGTGGCACCAATTTGAACATCACATCCAAATTGAGTGAGTAACTCTGAACATCCATTTTCGGTTATCACTATATTTATGTTATTTTCGCCATCGATCGGTTCACCGCCAGTAGCAATTCGACAGTATAAATCCGTCTTCAAAACATCTTACCCGTACGTTATTATGTATGTATGTATGTATGTATATACCTACTTAATAATACCCACGTCGGATGTATAATAATATCGGCGGCACGAAGGGTGAGACGAGTGTTGTTCATATAAGTCTTAGTCGCGAGAAGTGTCGGCGGCGTTTGGATAAAAAAAAAAATAGAAATATGCGTTTTTGAAAGGAGAAAAAATAATGTAAATGGAGTGGGCGCGGTCCCGGCGTGGCGACTTAATGAAAAGAGAACTTGTAGTGGGTTCGGCTAAAAGTATTCTTTTGAACAACCTCATTTCTGCCCTTCGCCACACGACTAAAGCTTATCTATCACCAAGTGTCAGACACATATATATGTATATATATGTATAATGTATAATGCTACCGAGACAAAACGGTTTTCAGCGGTTTTACAATTAATGATCGAGTATGAAACGGAAAATAAACAACAAACGGACACACCGCCACGTTTAAATAATACACGTTTCGCTGATAAAGGTTAACCGATTAGTAATGGAGGGAAAAAATGACTTATTATTACTTACAAAATTATGTTTGCTAATATTTGCGCCACGATAGTATAATAATAAAAGTCGTTTTCCAATAATGAATAAAACATAACTATTGTACAAATTAATTACAAAATTAAGATTAATTTTTTAGTAAGAAATTTCAACATTCAAAAAAAATGTATGATTCCTCCAACGTAAACCCGATGTTATGTGTAATTTAAAAAATATGTAATATAAATAGATTGTGTTGTTCATAAAGTAAATGAAATTATTGAAAACAACAAGAGAGCAAAATAAAAATTACATTTTCAATGTATTCGTATGGGTGATGTTTAATAATAAATAATAATGAAATAAAACAAAACATATGTTTCATTAATAAACAATGTATGAACAAAAAGCTTGTTTTAAAAAAAAAATAATTGTCGTTTGTACCGAAACCGATTTAAAATGCTCTAAATTTAGTATCTGTGTATTTTTGAACATAAATAATTTAATATGGTGGTGATAAATCATAAACACAAGTGAGAGTTTGTTTGTAAAATTGTTGACTGCGATTATATTCGAATAACCGAAGACTTTGAACGTTGTATTTTTGTAAATAACACAATGTATATTTTTTAAACTTACACCTAACACGTGTGTGTACGATTAACCAAGGAAATATTATACTGTGGCCGGTGTCTAATGTCTTGTTGAAGTTTAGAGAGTGTTTTGTTTAAACTCGACGCGTCAAGTGGTAAAAAAAAAAAAACCAAAGAAAACAAATGGAAATAGTAGCGTTAAAAAAAATAGTTGTACACGCATAACAAGTAGAGGTACCTACTTAATATTAGTTAAGATATTTTTCAACGACAACGGTCGAGTGGCAAAAATAACAACATTACGCGTTTACATAATATTATGGTCCGAGTCTGGGATAAAAAAAAATTACAAGATTTTTTGATTTTTAGTTTAGCGAAACGGAGTGAGTGTAGTCGGCAAAAAAAAGTACTCACTAGTAGATGCGGCGCGGACGCCGGTAGTGGTGTCGGCAGCGGCGGCGGTGTCCATCGCGGGCGTCGTCGTCGAGGGTAGTGCATACCGTCGGCCGGCCGGCGTGGCTTATATAGGGACCAGGACGCGGGGACCGGCGCGCGAGACGCCCCTTTTGGTACAAATCACGATAAAAAAGAACAGGCCCGAACACGTGTGCGACCGCGACAATCGGCCTTCAAGCGTGGCCGCGTTGGCCGCGTCGACAAGCATTGCATCGCGGCCGCTGACGACTGTTCGTCGAGCGGCCGACCGCGTTTTCAACATCTCCCGACTTACTTAAGTAATGACTTACGTTCATTGCTTGACTTGGGGGGGGGGGATACAGAGACTATTTTTTCGGCTTAAGTACTACCTCTAATTTTCATATCAAACGGAACGCACAGGAATCATATGATAAGTCGACCAATGCTTCAAAAAAAAAAACAGAACCCCCCCCCCCAAAAAAAAAAATCTCAATAATAT